TGTTGAGGCAATGTGCTACACAATGATCATCTTAAATAAACACGCCACTTTGATTGGTTGTTTTCCAATTGCCAAAGGGATTGCCTAACTTGAGCCCTAGTGGCATAGTGTGTTAAGCTACCAACCACAAGGTTAGCTGTTTGAAACCACCAGCAGCTCTATGGGAGAAAGACGAGGCTTTCCACTCTTATAAAGAGGTACTATCTTGGAAACCTACAGGTAACTATCTAAGTCAGAGTCAACTTGATGGCAGTGAGGTACCTAACTAGAGATACAGGACTTCTTGACCATGATTGTATAATTATCCCATACTTGTATTATATAACTACGATCAAAAGTAACGTACTGGACTATTCTATACATATAACTAAAAACAAAACAAAACGCACTGCCACTGAGCCAATTTCAACTCACAGACAACCCATATCGGGTTTCTGAGACTATAAATCTTTACAGGAGCAGACAAACTCTCCTGTGAAGTGGCTGGTCGGTTTGAACTGCCAATCATGAGGTTAGCAGCCCAACATTTAAACCAAAATACTGCCAAGAATCCTTACACAAGGCATTAAAGAAATTAAACAGGAGGGGAAATAAAAAAATAAACAGAATGGTAAGATTTAACTGTAATATGGAAGGACAGGTGAATAAGGCCAAATTTTCTCACTAAAAATGTCGACATGCATGGTTGCTCTATTCCCCAACAGTTTTATTTAACTTCATCATTTCCACACGTTATATGTGTTTGGGCATTAGTTATGAAGCGCTATTTTCAAAAAATAGAGTAACCAAAAGGAGTGTATTTTATCATGTAGTATTTTTCAATAATTTACTATTTACAAATGTACTCTTATTTCTAAGTCACAAAGCAGTCACAGGGATTGATAGTCTGCTAAAAATCCTATTACTTCAGACTCCTTGGAACAAATTTAATCATTGAAAATAGTGATCCTTCATGTTATCATTTTACAGATTTGGTGATCTTTAAAGTGAATGTTTTGGACCTATTAATTAAAACTCAAGGAAAACTGTGTTCTCCTTGTTTACAGGAAAACAGTGAAGATAATTTTAAAACTGCCTAGTAACATACGCATATACTCAATATATTAGACTTGAATTATTTTTAAAGTTTTCAAGGTTAAAAAATAACCTATCACAGTATACTTTCCTGAAGATGTTAATAAAAATTCACTTTAAATCAATAATCTCTACGCACAAGGCTATATTTTGTGCTTTTATGATGAAGGCTTCAAAAAGTTCGCGGAAAGTGAAATTAAAAGATGATGGTTTTTGCACAAACTTTTTGAAGTATGTGCATTCAAACATGTTTGTACGTGAACTAAATCAAGCAATAAAGTATATTAACTACATAAAAAGGAAATGGGGAGAACATACTGAATTTGTATTTGCTACCTCAATCACATATACTGCTTTAGTCACACAGACTTTGATTTAAACTGAGAGTTGACCAGTTACCACTTTCGAGACCTGAGGCATTTATATATCATCTAAAGAAACAGTATTACAGCTAAGAATTCAGGCTTAAAATTTACAGATTTACTGGGTCACATTTCAGTTGTGCCACTTGTTAGCCATGTATTTCTGGAGGAAGCTACTTAACCCCTCTCTATACCCTCAATCTGCACGTGATAGTGCGCTAAAGTATTACATTAATATACATAAAGAACTTCAAACAATGCCAGTCCCATTAAAAGCACCCAATAAACATCAGATGTTTTTAAAGCTGTTTCCACAGCTAATAAAGAGAAATAACAATCCCAAAAGGTTGTCATGTGAAATGAGAAACGGACAAGAACACAGTTCAAATGCATGAAGCATATCCAGTGTTTACTCACGGGCATCAAGCCTATTCCAACTCAAAATAACCCGGTAGGAAAGAGAAGAACTCTCTATAGGATGGCAAGACCAAAAATCATTACAGGAGTGCCAACAACTGCATCTTTCTCCCAAGGAGGGGAGCAGCTGGTGGCTAGGAACTGCCAACGCTACAGGTAGGAGCCCAAGACTAATTCACCAATCGAGGCCACTAGATCTGCTAGAGAGAAGTTACTATTATCAATAGAAAGTAACACTGAGGATAATACAGTGGGTGCAGATGTAGGTTGGCAATGACACCAGTCACTCAAGAACTCAACCCGTAAAATGGTAGTTACTCTCGAGTCCTTCCTGTCTCATCTTCCCACTCAATTACCAAGTTTTAGAAGTTCTAGATATCCTCAAAAGCTGAAAATGAACCCATTTGCTCCATTCTCATTTCCAAAGCCTTATTATAGCCCTCATGTAGGCTTTCCTCAGAACAACGTCTCAGCCTTCTACTTCAGCCCATTCTCCACATGCCAAGCTGCGTCTGATTTAAAACAAAGCAAAACAAAATTCTATCCTATCATTTCTTTCTTGATTATATGCAATTATCCCCACAGCCTTCAGAAGTTGTTTTGTCTTTTGTCAGAATTGCAAAGTCTCTCAGGATTTGGTCCCGTTCCACCCCTCCCACTTCTTCATTTTTCCACTTGGTTACTTTTCAATATAAGTCAAGCGCCACAATTCTGAGCTACTGTGTCATGCTCTGTTATCTATGCAGGGTCTTTCCTTCTCCCTTTACTTACTTCCCCTGAGTGACTACTTAACATTTCTCCTCTGAAATTTCAACTTCCATGTTGAATTCCCCTGCATTCTCTGATGTTCTGCCCCTCTCAACTCCCCTTTCTCTCTCCTCCCAGCCTGGATAGATGTTATGGTTAGTATGGTATGAATTTCAAGGCAAAAGAGATGTCAATATTGAAAACTCATTAAGTTTTCAACATGAAACAGTCGGCATGAGCAACAGAAGACTGGCTGCATTTAGCTTACTCTTCAGTTCCAAGAGCTAGAACTGAAGACCTAAGCACAAATGTCTATGATTTCAGTTTTGGTGTCCCAGGAGACTGCTTTTCTGGTGAGAAGTGTTGTATTAAGAAATTCACTTCACCACAGTTATAAGTACATTTCTAAGATGGTTTAATCTGTGGATAAATCAGATCACTCATTTAATAAGCATTAAATATTTAAGCAGCAACAGGGACACTAGACTCTTCCTGGTAATATTACAAATGAAGAGGCTCAATTTATTGTGAAATATATTTATGAAAGAAAACTGAAAGCTGAGTCTATGCAGCACTGATTAGTTAATGAGGTCCTGTTTCTACCTCCATTATCAGAATATTTAAAACTCAGGTTAGCTATAATTAATTTAGTGGAGAATAATTAAACTTAAAAACAAAAGTTTCAAACTCGTTAATGTGCTAAAAGTACTCTAACCTCAGACTAGACTAACAAATAAAGAATATACTCTCTGAGTTAATAAACTTTTTAAAAATCTACACAAAACCCATGCCATTTCCTGGTAGGAACTGTCAGTATTATTCTAACTCTGTATCATACCACTGTGAACATGGGTCTGCACACAATACACAGGGGCTTCCCAAAAGTCCATGGAAAATAGAATTAAAAGATGATGGAATTTTTCTCACAATTTTTAGAAGCTCCCTTATATATCTGAAAGAATGACCAGCCCACTTGTTAGATATCATAAATTCAGAGGCAGGAGTCATGTTTAAAGTTCTCTGGTGTACAGTAATCATGTACTTAATAAAGAGTGTAGGATTTCATTTACCCTTAATTGAAGGCAGGTCTCCAGTGTAAAATAAAATAACAAATGCACCACAAGGTGAACAATCTAACAATTAGAAGATTGTAGGCATACTTTCCGTCCCTGGAACGCTTCTTTGGATTATTTGGTATGACTGTAAGCAGCTCTCCTGTGTTAGGACCAGAGGGGCCTGGTGACACAGCAATAACATAGTGAGCTGCTCACTGCAAGATCAGCGGTTGGAACCACCTGCCGCTCTGTGGGGAAGAGATGAGGCTTTCCACTCCTGTAAAGACTTTTGGTTACAAAAAATAATATTTTTAATTGGTAGTTTACTAAGTAATATAATCAACAGAACAGTTTCCTGGGCATTGTTCTAAATAATGAGTTAGCTTTTTTGTTTTGTTTTGTTTTTTGGTTTTTTTTAATAATGAGTTAGTTTTGAAGCTGTCTGAGAATTATAATCCAACTGCAGGAAGGGGTAAAGTTTTCCTCATATTTCACCGAAAGTTATTACTGGTGATCACACAGATCTGTAACTCAAGTCCAGATCTTTTTACTCCAAATACCCTACACTAGGTATCGAATATATGGGAAGCATGAGGTTACCATGAGTTAAAGCCAACTCACTGCAAGCCCTCCCCTCACCATCGTCACAGTACACTGAAGTCACACTCTGACTTTCAACAGGGAACTGTATAGCACAGGCCAAGATACAAAAGTCATATGTACAAACAGGAAAGAACAAAATAAAACTTAAAAGTTGTAAATACAAATTTAAAAAATCAAATAGTAAAGAAGTCTGTCAAATTTACTGGATCTCACATGAACAGTGATTATTAAAAATATTATATTGATCTGGGTTCATTATTTCTTATCAAATTTACATCTGTCCAGTTTATACGATGATGGCATCTACTAAATTGTGCCCTAGGCTGCTTCAAGAACCAGCCAGCATTGCTAGCACGATCATAAAATGATCCTAATATAATGTTGGAGAAACTGACCTGATAGGACGGCGTTGGTACTTTAAGCAAGGAAAAGGCGAGGCTATCTACTCCCAGGAAGAGTGGCAGTCTTGGAAACCCACAGGGCAGTTCTAGCCTACCCTATAGGGCGACAGGGTTCCTCTGTGTTGGAACTGATTCGAGGGTAGTGAGTGTGGGTTTGTTTTGTTGTTGGTGTTGTTGATTTAAATGTTTTATTTGTTATAAAACCATACAGTATAACTCTTTCTAATAAATATCAGGAGAGCTCAAAGTAGTTAGAAAATGACCAGAAGAGTTTAAAGTAGTTAGAAAATGATCAGTGCCAAGTTACAAACAATGGCCAAGATAAAAACTCAAATACCTACTTTGTTATCTTGTGTCACAAGAATACTTCCACCCCCAGGTTTCAAAGGCACCTCCTCCATGGCTCCGAACACATCAGTCTCAACAGAAAAAGTCAGTTCTAGCCCCAGATCACTAATATCATTGTCTAAGATCCACTGCAAATTTTTGGCATATTCTGGATCAATGGATGCCACATCTTGGTAATTTACAGGAATACCTTAAATAAGAAAAGAGGGGGAAAAGCCAGCATATAATGGTTATGTAACTTTTTTTGGCCTTTCCTTGTCTGTTTAATGGTTAAACACTGCCCTCTACAGATATTCTTTAAAACTACAAAATATAATTCAATTCACAGCACAGTTTAAATGGGTGACAGACAATTCCAGTATTTCAAAATCTGTTCAACTAAGCTTCTTTATCACACTTCCGCACTTCTCACAATATAATTGTCCTACAAAAATGTCATTATGAAATCATTATGAAAATCAAAGATGAAAAGTATCTTAAGTACTTCATATTAAGATGCATTCCTGACATAACATACACACACTTTAAATAGAAGGGAAAGCTTGCAGCAGAAATGTCAAAAGTATAGGCCTTTTTTATTTTTTATTCCAGGCCCCTACGCGCTTTATGCACATAGACAGTCTCAAGTCAAAATAAAAATGTTATCCAAACATTGTTAGCTAATCCAAAAGGTTATCACTAGCCTATGTAGCTTTTCCCTGAAAATTGTAAGAAGAGTACTTTAAAAGAATGTTATTAGGAACAAGAGAAACATACCAAGAATGTGCTTGTAGAATGATCTTGTAAAGTAAATATTGACCAACTGTCTATGATTCAGCGCTAACCCCAAAATTTGTCCAGCAAACCGGAAATAATTCAAATGATCGGGATTGACATAGGAGTTGCTGTTGGGCTGGAAGGTTGTTCCTGTCAAGAAAAACACAAAATGGTTTATTCTTAATCTACATGCAGGAAAGAAAGATAATGTAGGTAAACTAATTCTCACACAATTTCCGCAAATACAAGGTTATAATATGTATAAACTTTCAAAGGAATGCCCTTTGTGCACTATATGAATAAGTAGTGAAACTGGAGGTACAGAAGATAATCATTAATTCACCACATGAACTTATCTGGATCTTTGTGCAGAGAAAATTTTTAGAATACTGAAAGCTGGAAGATAAGTCAGAGAGACTCTGGAAATAATCTATAAAAATACCAGTCACACACACACAAACACACACACACACACACACACACACACACACTCATTTTCCTAGACACTGTCACGATAACTACTAGGCTGTGCAGTGAGTAGACAGGACTCATTCGCTTTTACTTACAGCTGCACTCACTAGGGTTTGGTTCTTAAGGAATAGAGCAAGATTAGGAAAAAAAATTTTTTTATGTACAACTACTATTAATGTTAGGTTTAGTCAATGAATTTAGAAGAAAAGTCACACAAAAAATTGCTTTAATCCATAAAATAACTCATTGTTTTTTGAGATCAAAAAAGGGACCCCCACACCCAGGTCAAAGTCAAAATGACAACGGTGACAAACAGTGGCCATATTGTCAAAATCGAGGGCAATGGAAAAGGCCAAAGTCAGCACTACGCCTCTCGTTTTCTGTGATGACCATTAGCTAAAATTACAAGTTCATTCATTCATTCAACACGTATTTAGTAAGTTTATGGTATATACTACATTGGAGGTAGTTGGACTAAGAGAAAAAATAATAAATTACAAATATTTAATGAAGTAGCATCAAAAAAAAATAAAACAGAAAGAAGTATTGAAATGTAAAATATGTGACCATTCAATATTTTCATTTTGGTAGCAATCTACTCTGTATTTCATTAACTTTTGATTTACTAGTTATTACTGGACTGGATTCAACTGCCATGGCCAGCTTAGGTAGCTACAAAGTGAAAATCTAGACACTTACAGCTGAATAATTTAAATGGTCCACATGAAACTAGCCACTCACTAGTAAATAACTTTTCAGAATCACTCTCAGTTACAAGGAAAGACTGATATTAACAAACAAAGCAAAGTTTTGTTAGATGAAGAAAAGTATCCACTAAGATATAACTATTGATGTCCTCCCATCTGGAACAAAGAAGAGTGAGGAAAATCAGAGACTCCAGGACACAATTAATCCAAAGGACTAATTGACTACATGAACCACAGTCTCCACCAGCCTGAAAAAGAAGCACTAAACAGTGGCCAGCTACCACTACAGAGGTTCTGGACAGAGTGAGGAGCAAATTCACAGCCAAGTTCAGCATCATAAAAAGACCAGACTTACTGGTCTAATGGAGACCAGGAGAACCCCTGGGAATGTGACCCTTGGACGTAAGCCTTCAAAAGCCTTTAACTGAACCAACTCTCAGAGATCATATTTCAGCCAAACAATAGATCAGTAAAGTGAACCATTCACACCACTTCCATACTCACGATTAATCCCTAAATATTAATTTTCATCATATCTACTAAGCAAAGAACATGAAATTATTTGATCTATAGTTCAATTTACTAATAAGTGTGAACCCAAATAGAACACTGAAATAAATCACAATATTCATAGTCTAAGCGCTTTAATATATGTTGTTATAAATTGCTAGCATGAGGAAATACTTCTAATGATTCGACACCAAACTGTTTTTGAAGTATGAAACTAAATAAATGGACTCAAAATAAGAAACTACTTTAAAAAGAAACAAGTATAAAATATAATGTCCTAATATTAAGCCTATCTTCAAAAATTAGGCCTAAATAACTAAACTTGGTACCTCATAGAACTTATAACAAATTACAGATATCAAATTCACTTCAGGGTAAATAATCAAAGCTTACAGAGATTAAGTGGCAAGTCCCACATTTTTAAGTCATCTCAAAGACTCATGTGTGCCTGAGGGGTCCCAAAAAACCTTCGGTACTCTGGCATCACTGCGGCCCACCTCCTGGCCTGTCCTAGACTCATTCTTCTTCTTAGAGGAAACATTCTCTTTATAAAACAATTTAAAGATTGAGGAGAGTGTGGTATGCATAATTTTCAGGGGGGGGGGCGGGTACTGTGTGAGCATTTCAAAACTATAACCTTAACCTTTACTTAGACTTATCTTTATTAAGTAAACGCGCTCTTAAATATATCTCGCACAAATGAGAAGTAACCATTTCCATCTAGTCAAACCACAACTCTAGAGGTTGTAAGCACCATTAAAAGAATTTGTCGACAGTTTCCTATCTGTACTACTGTACTATACAGTTAAACAAGAGCTTTTGGGATGCCAGCCCTTGATCTCTTAGAAAAGAACAATAAATAGGGTCACTATATATAATTACATGGAGCCCTGATGGCACTGCTGGATAAGCATTGGATCTAAGTCCAACTCACCAGCTGTTGAGTGGGGAAAAGATGCTCCACAAAGATTTACAGCCTTGGAAAACCTACAGAGGGTCACTATGAGTCAGAAACTGCTTGATGCCGGTGGGCTTTTGGCCTACGTAATTATACCTACTGACATGGTTAGGTTCCAAAGACCAGGTCCTTGTGCACAATATGCCATTATGTGAAAACAGAGAATGACTACAGCAGATCACAAAATAGAGGATGACTAATGTACCTTCCAAAGTATGTCATTACACAAATGTCAAACAATTAAGAACCATGACGCAGTCAAATGGACACATAGGTTGGCATTTGCTACTGCCAGGCCTATAGCGTTATAGTGCAAAATACTCAGATAAACTATCAAAAATGGGAAATGTATATAATGGGAGGGTCCATAAGTGAGCTATTGATGTGGGCACTAAGATCCAACACCACAACTTCTAAAATTTGGCTTTTAGGATTAATAAAAAAAATTCCCATCTACTGCTACTATTCTACAAAAGGCAACTTTAACAAAATATTTTACTTAAATATAGACAAATGGAAACTCCTTCAAGGCTAGCTCCCAGTTGGAATTAACATGGGAACTGAATGATCAGATAAAAGAATATGCTAGGCAGAATCAGGCTCCACTGATTTTCTCTTTCAGTAACTGTATGACTGCAGACATCTGAATTTCACTTTCTTCTACTATGCAGTGGGAATACTCTAATTCCCAAGGCTACTGTCGAAACCAAAGGGTAAAAAGTAACTTTAAAAAAATCACAGAAAAAAGTCATCTAGACCAACAGACTTACCATCAGCTGACTGGGTAAACAATGCATAATCAGGATTGACTATCTCATTAGACAGAATATCAAACCACTCACGCACCACACCTTGACCCTGAGTTCAGAAAAATAAAATTAAGCATCAAAACAAATATATGGGAAATGTTTTCTATGTAATAGCAAAATTAAATTACATTAAGTTTCTTTCATATAAATTAAATATTAAGCTTTATTCAATGACATTTCAATCATTTATATACAGTGATCTCTAAATAGCTTATTTTTTATACTCACCATGCCTTCTTCTCCATGGAATCGTACAGCAATCCCTTGTTTTAGTTTTGCACAATTTGCTTTTGACACAACTTCACAGCTACTCCTAAAAATAGAATCTAAATATGTAGCGCTGATTAATTTTACATAATAAATTTTGTAATAAAAAATACTTTCTGCCTCACATGTAGAGTCATTTCTTTGTTAAACATACCTCTGTGAACCAGCAAGATATCGTTTTCATTCACTGGCCTGTGTACCATGTCTGAATCTGGTTGTCCTGAATGCAAATGTTCATAGAACCATTCACAGCGATCTTTAAATGGCTATAACCCCACCGCCCCAAAAAAAAAAGACAGAGAAGGAAACTATGTTAGCAGTGTTTCAGTTACCTACTTATCAGATTTACTTAACCACTGTGTTAAGTACCCTTCCTACAAATTTTCAACCTTATATTTTTATTTATAAGTGACACTAGATAATGTTCTAACATTTCAACTATTTACCCAAAAAAGGCAGCTCCTTGCCTAAAAAGCTTTAAAAGTGAATGTGCTTTCTAAAATTTCATATTATTTTCAACAGAAGACTTGATAAATTAGATTTATCCAAGAACTTAATGCCAGATATGTAATTGAACACAATTACTCTCAATTTCCTTTAAGTCCAACAAGGCTTATAAGAACAAATTGTCACAATCATTAAAGAATTATATTATCCCATTCCATTTAATTTTTCATCAAGATAGTCTTTTCACTTAACTCTATTCATATCTTCTGGGGAAAAGTGAGCAGCCTGATCCGGCCTCTTGAACTGTTAAAGTCTCTACTTTTTGTGGATCTGTCAGCTAAGCAAAGTGCAGGTGATCTGTAATTTTTATGATTAATCACAAAGTACTACTGAGGATCTAGTGGGCTTATACTCAATTAATATGGCACTCCCATACTAATCCCTTTTGCTACATAATTTTGGATTTCATACTCCTATGGCTAGAGTACCACGTTGGAAGCCGTCCATTACCTGCTAATAAGTGAGGGGCCCCAGTGATATCATGGTTACAAGCTGTGCCACTAACCGCAAGGTCAGCAGTTGGAAATCACCAGCTGCTCTGCGGGGG